CTAATAATTCTGATAAAGAAGAACAAAATGTTGATAAAAATGATTTAATAATAGTAAGTGATGATGATAATAATATAGAAAATGATGATAAAGAAAAAAGAAAAAAAGATGAAATAGAACCAAATACTGAAGAAAATGAAAATCAATGGAAAGCAATTATTTCTCAATGGATCGAAGAGGCTAATTATGAAAATCAGGTTGAAAATAGTAATGATGAATTGCTGCTTAATGGAGATTTAGATTATGATTTTTTGGTAGGAAATCGAAATGTTCATCCAGCTGATGATTTAAATGCAAAATGGAAATTATCTCTTCTTTTTACAAATAGTTTAGAACCACCTACATATGTTGAAACTTTTTTCGAAAATGAATAAATATGAATAAAGTTTATTTTTACAATAATAAAATTTAAACTTAACAATTAATATATAAAAAATTTTTCCTAGGGGATACCGAGTACCCCTCAGACTCCCTTCTTGGATTTTTTTTTATCATTTTTTTAATTTATTTATTTATTTATTTTATTTTATTTTTTATTTTTATTTATTATTTATTATTATTTCTATTTAAAAAACAAATAAAATCGAAATAATATATACTCTTTTTTGATTGGTTAAAATTATATGACAATATCATAAGGTCATAAATATTTATAAATAACAAATGACAAATGACAAATCATATAAGTCATATAGATCATATGATATCATATACCAACACTGTCATCAGTTGGTATTTTAAGTGATTTCTATATAAGGTTCTTTATCCTATTTCTGTATCATTAGCTGGTGGATTAAGTGATTTTTTATATGAGATATTTTGCTCCATTTCTGCATCACTGGTTGACATTGATCCTTTAAAATTAGAAAAATAAGTAAATTAAATTTTATACATATATATCAGATTCTTTGATTATATACTAGTAGTATAGGATAACATCTGCGAAAATTTATTTTTAGAACTTTGAGAGATAATTTTATGTTATTGTACTGTCTTAATTGAAATATCTTCAGCTATACGTGACTTATTCGTGAGTTTTTTTAACATATTTGTTTTCATTTAGCAAAGAAAATTAAAAGTAAAAAAAGATATTGTTATAAAGTTAGTGAATAGAGAAATAATTAAAAGAAGAAAAGATATAGTTAATACTTGAAAGTAAAAAAAAAGTATATAAAATTATTGCGAATTTTTAAATGTTGGAAAATAAATAATTATATGAAATTCAAAATGTTAAACATTGCATTATTTAATCAATGATCATTAAATTAATTAAAAGTTAAAAATGATTGAAATAGATAAAAAAAAATCTTCAAAATAAATTATGATGTAATTAATCGGCATAAGTTAAGTTAATAAACAGTTAAAAAATTATCAAAAGTTTATTTAATGTTTTTAATATAATTGATAAAGATTATATTATTTTTAAGAGAATTTTTTCGATCAAAATAATAAAATTAATTATCTAATATAATTAATTAGTTAGCAAAAGTTTTTTAAAAAAAATTCTTTATGATAAATCAAAAGAATTACCTGATTGAAAATCTACAAGCTATAACTAAATTCTTTTAATAAATCAAAATATTACTTTATATCTTATAATCAATTGTATCATATTTCTTATATTAATTTCTGAAAGATAAAAATTAACAATAGATAAATTTCATTGCAGAATTTGCAAGAAAGAATTTTCAACTACTAATGAATTAATACAACATGCTAACGCTACATGTCATGGTAAAATATTACTTTCTTAGGAATCACAATCATAACAATAAATATAAAGTTCAAAACATGATTTGAACTTGTGAAGTATGCCAATTATAAGGTCTATAGAATTAGTTTCACCTACCTTCGCAAAAGCCTTTACATTATAATTTGATATGGTAAATATAATAGATGAAACCCTTGAAAATGAACTATATAATTATCTGCAAAGTCAAAAAAATGAAGAGAGCACTAAGGAGATGGAATAAAGTATTGAAGAAATAGAATTAGAGATACAATTAAACTTTAAAGATAGTGATTTTGACTCTGAAAATCTTCAAGAAGCATTTTTTGATAATTCTTTAAATATTATTGAAAGGAAAAATAAACTGGAATGTGTAATAAAGTGGCTAAATAAAGTATATCATAACATTATAGAGTTAATAATAGATGGTAATATATCTAATAAAATTGGCAATAAAATAATAAAGTTTTTTAATAAACACAGTGACTTGAATAATTCACTATTATCAGGTTTGACGAAAAATAGCAAAATTATCTTAATCAAATAATTTTACCTTATTGGATTTCAAAGAAAAGGTTGTTATAACTTATGATGAAGTTAATTTTATTTTCTATTATTAACCAATTTTTTGTGCTATTCAAACCTTTCTACAACGTTTAGAAGTAACTAATTGATTCATTTATAAGGAAATCCTAAAAAGGATAATAGTAAAAGAATATTTAGAGAACTGTTCGAGTGCAACTAGTAATTAGAAATAGAGAAAACTCTTCTCCCTTAAACCATCTGTTATCTATTATTTTGTATTCAAATGTAATAACCTTTAATAGACTAAGAAAAACCTTTAAATATCCTGTATTTTTAATACTTAGAAACTTTTCAAATTTATTTTGAAACTTACCAGAAGTTAAAATACTTTTAGGATTCTTACATAAAGTACAGGATTCAGGAATCAAAACTTCTAAATCATTTAAAAACTTACAATGTGAAGTATTCCATAAATGTTTTGATACCATGCTTTGACCTCTATTAAAAAAACCCAATGAATTATATTTTAGAGTTAAAGGACAATTAATGCATTTTGCTGTGCATATATTATTTTTTTTTCAGATATGTTCAAAACTGATAAAATAATAGCAACATAAAAATCAGCTTAAAGTAAGATATCTTATCATATCTGCATGGTCTCACAAAGTGACTGAATAATATGAATGCTATATTAGAGGATATACCTCTTAAAACTCATGAAAATATGCAGAAAATTATATGTAATAGTTAAGAAAAGGATTTTTCTGTATATTCTATCAATAATGCCTTTTGAAAATTCCTGTAAATATCACTAACTATTTAAAATAATTATATAAAAAAGAAATAGTTATATGTTTAAACTAAAACTTTATAAAATTTTAGCAATCTGAATAATTATAAAGTATGCATTTCTGACCGTATGTATCATATCAATCTTAGGCTCTTTAAATACCAACTGGAATTTACTTAGGAAATTCTGAGGATTGTCAGAAAAACAGAAATACTGAAGATTTTTAATGATTATTTTCATCAAATCTCTCACTTTCTAGTTTCAAACTATTAAGTAAACTAGAACAATTAAAAATAGCTACTGTATCAGATTATTATCATTTAATAAAAATTGCTCTTTTTGTCTTGAACAATATTTTTGATGAATGGAATGGAATATCATATGATGAACTTTGTAATCTTTATTCAAAATTTAATAATATGTATCTAATAAGCTAAAAAGAATCATATACAGAAAATGATGTAAAAAATTTCAAAGTAATTATATTAAATATTAGTTAAGTATTATTAGTAAACTTAAATATTAATAAATTTTATCAACAGAAAGCAATTATTGATTGGTCTACTAACTTTAAGAGAATATTCTCTCCATTATTATTAATAGAATAAAAGTTTTTCAAACTTTACAGCTGACAATATTACGCAGGTAACTGAATTTTTAAATAATTATTAAAGTAGTAAATTGCGATTTGTAATTAATTTTAATTTTTGTATCTAATCACAGTTTCTGTTATTTGTAAATATAGAGTGTTAAATGGCTTATCAACTAAAACCTATGAAACTCTTTATAAATATTATATAAAAATCCCTATCAGTTATCAAACAAAAAAGAAGTAATATGACAGTTAATAAATGTGGTTAGTTAGTAAAATCTGACAAATACCAATTTAAATACAATAAAAAAATTAACTTACTAATATAAATTTTTATAGGTAAAATGCAAAAAATTGATCCTAACAAATAAGAAAGTTACTTATAGTAAAACTGAAGGATTCAGGAATATTCTTTGAAAAATATCTTTGGATTCTATTAATTCAAAGATAAAATCTTAAAAAAAATCTGAAAATCCACTAAATCAAAATTTTATTGAAGGATTATTATATATAATCTCAGTATTAGATACCTTTTTGAATTCATTGTCACAAGATTCTGAAAGTAACAATTTTTATATCAGAGTCTATGATGCTGTCTACTTAGAAAATAGTGAGATTTTAAGAACTTTTGAAAAATTTCAGGGTAAAGAATAGTTCAGTATGTGATAGTAACTTTTGCGGAAGATCAAGAACAATTAAACTCAAATAACAGTACTTAGTATGAAAAGATAAGTGAATTTTGATTAACATTGAAGTATGACTTTTTACTTTATTGTATTAATTAATGGATTTTTCTAAAGGTATTATTATTATTTAAATTCTTTCAGAGTTAACTCAAAGAGCCATATGAATTTGCTCTCATTTGCTGATATGATATCAGCAAAACTAAGCAAAAAATTTATGGCTGTTCACAGTTGATTATATTAAAGAATATAATACAATTCTGATTGATTAAATTAGCTAAGAAGTTCATATTGTATTGAGACTCGCTAAGGAAAATAAATTTTTATTGAATAAATATATGTTTTAATAATTTGAATAATGGATTTTATTAAGTTTAATTATGCTAACTGATGAGGTTGATGAATTATAATTTATTAAGACTTCAGCTTAACATACAAAAAAAAGAAAAAAAAATGGTTTTTTTTTTTTAATAAAAATAAAAAAAATACTATTAGATTTTATCATTTAGTATTGCTGACCGGTAAAGTTAATAAATTAAATTTCAGCTTAGCATACAAAAAAAAGAAGGGAAAAAAAATCAAACTTTAGATTATCTAAAGATCATGCATTTCTGTAGATTGCTGCAGTTTTTATTTAAAATATATGTATATTTATATTATAACACATTTCTTACTAAAAGTTTTAAAAAAAATGCATTGATATATATGTACAGTAAAGCTCTGAATGGTTCAGATTAATCTGAAATTTTCAGTTCAGTTCAGATTTTTTTTGGATTATAAATCTAATCCAAACTGAAAAAAATCTGAACTAAACCAAAAATTTTAGATTAATTCGAAATTTTAGATCATTTGGAATAATTATATTTATCATTCTAAACAAATGATAAAAGAATTGTTCAATTAAAATGATAAAATTATCATTCCAAACGAACGATAAAAAAATTGTTTAATTAGAACGATCAAATTATCATTCCAAACGAACGATAAAAAAATTGTTCATTTGGAATGATCAAATTATTGTTCCAAATGAATAATAAGAAAATCGTTCAATTAAAACAATAAAATTATCATTCCAAATGAACAATAAAAGAATTGTTTGATTGGAACGATAAAATTATTATTTCAAATGAACGATAAAAAAATCATTCGATTAGAACGATCAAATTATCGTTCCAAATGAACAATAAAAGAATTGTTTGATTGGAATGATCAAAATATCATTCCAAATAAATGATAATAGAATTGTTCGATTAAAATGATAAAATTATCATTCCAATCAAACGATAAGAAAATCGTTCAATTAGAATGATCAAAATATCATTCCAAATGAATGATAATAGAATTATTCAATTGAAATGATAAAATTGTCGTTTCAAACAAATGATAAAAGAATCATTCAATTGAAATGATGAAATTATCATTCTAATTAAACGATAAGAAAATCGTTTAATTAGAATGATCAAATTATCATTCCAAATGAACGATAAAAGAATTGTTCAATTGGAATGATCAAAATATCATTTTAAATAAATGATAATAGAATTGTTTGATTGAA